TTATACAATTATGTACATTTACATCTTTTTTATACAATTATGTACATCCGAAACAGGAAATTTATGTGTAGTATGTTAAGAGTTGATGTTTATTATGTTAAAAGTTTATATATATTATGTATTATGTTAGATTATATGTATTATCTTTCAAAAAAAAAAAGTATGTGTATTTTGTTGATACAATTATGTACATTCATGTATACAATTATGTGTGTTCTAGTATAAATTATGTACATTTTTTAACATGAGATTTTTTTTTTTTTTTAAAGAAAATTAACCGTCAACACAGGGTAGCAAAATTTCAAAAAAAAAAAAAAAAAAAATCTGAAACGACGTCGTTTTGCATCAAGGCTCACAATTCAATGCGCGCCCTGGTGCAGGATATAAATTGCCAGTTTTATGTCACTTGATTCTTCAACTCATTTGATAAGTGTTTCATCATAAAATTTCAGTTGGATCTAATTGAGTAAACTTTAGCCCACAGACAAGTTTTATGTCACTAGATTCTTCTGGCCATTTAGTAATTGAGATTAAAATATTATCATAAGGATTTATTAATTGGATTTAATAGAATTAAAACTTTAGTCCACATGCAAGCTAGTTTTATGTCAATAAATTCATCAACCCATTAGATAATAATTTTATCTCAATTTCTTAGAATTTATAAATTTAGTTCAATTATAATTCTGAGTTTCATGGTTTGCATGGGCAAAACATGTATTTAGTTATTTCCCAAAAATTAAGCACCTTTTATTAATTGTTTCACGAAGCTTACTTAGTTATTTGGACTAACTATAGTAAGTTGCTTGCTATGATATACTTCTTTTGGATTCCAATAATAAAATATATCTTTTGAGCCAAATTCCAACTGGGTTTTGGAAGGTGTATTTTATTACTTTAGTCTGTCCAACTATGGTGGAGAATTTGTCATCATTAATTATTCATTTAGTTGGACTATAATTGGGACCAAATATTGGTTATTTAGTATGCCCAACTAATGGTGGGGAATTATATCTTCATTATTTAGTTGGTAAAATCAATTATGAGTGTTATAGCATTAATTTGGCTAAAGAATATCTTAATCAGTGAGAATGATCATTTAGAAAAAGATCATTAAAATACTCCACTAAAGTTGCTGAATTTAATTGTTTTCATACATTCCAAATTGGATTGTGCGTCTAATAATAAGTCCAAAAGTTTCCACAAGTATTAATTTAGATTTTGTTCTTATAGATTCATACGTTCATTTTGTTGAACGTTTGGTTGTGCAACATATTTATGAAAATGTCGTAACAATATTAAGGAATAATTAGAACGAAAGCATTTAACTTGTGGTGCATTGCCAATTAATAAATTCTGCAATTAATAGAGTCTTTAGTTTCTTCAAAATTGATCTTGTGTCATCTTGGTTTGTAAGGCTCAAAACAATTTTGCAAGACATATAAGTAAGACTCATAATGTTCAGTTAATTTTGAGATGGACCTTGAGATTATTTGGGAAGTTATGGTGTATGTTTAATATTCCAAATTTGTTGACTTAGATTTTTTGGTTTGTTGTCTAAGTATTGGAATGTTTCTGTGACTGATTATCTTTTGGCTATTTTGATGAGTGGGAGTGACAGGCGTGTCAACTCCAAGCTCTTAGCCGTTAGAGGTAGTGTTTTAAAGTTAACTTATAAAAAAGTCATAGAATACAGTTAGCATTATGCTAACATTAAGAGATCTGTACTTAAGGCATGCTTCTAAGGTTTTAGAGATTATACAGTGGATTTGGATGATTTTTTCTTTCAGTTGTGCACATAATAAATTTTGAGAAACATGCCTTAAGGGACTAAGAATATACGTAGGGTTTGTTCATAAAGAACCTAAGGGAATTTAAATGCATGTGATCATAGAAGATATTACTCACTTGATAAGTAGAGGACATATTACTATGGTTCATGTATTTTGTTCTCTGATGAATGTTGTGTCAGTACTTGCACCAAGTGGGAGAATGTAAGTATTTTCCCTAATATAATATATGATAATATATTGTATTAATTAAGTGGTTGTGGTGCAAGTAGAAGATTAGGTCAGTTAGTGATTTAATCTGTTAGGCAACTTAGGATATTCAATTTAGCTTTAACTGAATATCTGCCTATATTGATGTCATGTAGGCTTCTAAGCAAAACAGTCCTCTCACAGCTCCTGTGTTCAGAATACACGCACCATCAGGTATTCGGGAGAGAAGTGGTAGACAAAACACTAACCTTTGTTCTGCAGGTTTACCATCCAGTGGCAATACCAACGACTATGGCAAGGGATCGGATATTCAGATGATCCTGAAGCTTCCACTATTACGAGGTCAGGTTCCTCGTTACTTTAGTTTATGTTAGCCACATTATTGTCTAACATGTTTAACTATAAGGCTATAAATTAGGCTATAAAAATTTGTGTTCCAATTTATGCCCCAATATAAATTAGCTCCAGTTTATGCAACTCTAAGTGATTGTAAATATATGACAACTATGCATAAATGTAAAAGAAAAAGGGAAAGAGCAACACTGTTCGAAATTGTAGTGGTTCGGCAACACCTACTCCACTACCTAAGGGCACTCCCGTTAAGATTGCTAACTCGATCTACTCTCCAAGTCACCTATTCGATTGTGGGCATTACTACCACCCTCGATGAACAGCCATCATCGATTCGTTCACACTTCTCAGTGTGGTGATAACACTTAGCTTCCATGAATCTCAATCCTTCATAGCACTAGGTGAAACAAAACACCAACCCCGTCCCTTGTCTCATGAATCCCTTGCGCATATCATAATGGCATGCACTTCTACGATCGTCACCCCTTTGTAGTTAGGGTACAACAAATTCACCATTTTGTTACCAAGCTTGCCACTATGTCACCATAACCACACTTGATGTATAAGTGTATAACTCGCCTCTTACAAACCCAAGTATTTACACCGTTTGAAATATGACTTAATTAGATACACTTTGTACATGCATGTCTTTATAATAGACTAAAGAGTGATGGTCCCTCGACTATGTCGTAATTACAAATTTAGTCCTCGACTACCATTCTTACCCAATTAAGTCCTCAACTATACAATATTTACCTAATTTAGTCCTCTGTTAATGTATTGTTAGTGGGCAGTCAATAATGAAGGTAAAACTGTCATTTTACCACTTTCTTCACATCTCCTTCCTCACACCCGGGAGGCCTAATAGCTCTGTCCCATCCTTCTATGTATACATACTAGAAGCTTTGGAAATATAGAAATTAAAAGGTTATAAGATCATATATATCTTTAAGTATGAATGAAGAAAATTTTTGTGGAATGGGTAAAGGTGAAGAACATGATTTTCTTAATTAACTAAAATCCTTCATAAAAATGTGTTAAGAAATGAAGCTTTGGAACGTTTGAGAATGGTGAAATGAAGAAATCATTTTTAAAACAATCACTTAAAAACTTATTTTGAAAGTTTTGACTCAAAAAATATTTTAACTCTTCTGTAAAGCCATTATTTGTGCGCTCCCACGTACACACGTGTCATAAAATTACTTTTGTATGATATGTTAATATATATATATATATATCATCCATATTAGCATAAATTAACAAATAAAAAATATGATACTTATATATAATATATCAAGAATATATAACTAATACTACAAATATTGAATAATCAAATGAAAAGATTAAAAACTGGATTACATATATGTTTGATTCATTATATATGTATAGTCGTCAAATTTGCTCTTGGTGCAGTGCCATCTCAACTGTTGATCATTGACTTGGATAGGGCATTGTAATTAACAAACAACAATAATGCAACCTTTCAGTCATCATAGCTTTAACAATTCCCAGTTGCACATTTGCTTATGTTAGCATGATTTCTAAGTCAAATAATATATATATATATATATATATATATATATATATATATATATATATATATATATATTTCGTTGTTGTGATTGTTACATTTTTAAAAAATAATAGAGGTAATTACTGAAATGGTCCCTTGACTATAGCGAAATTACCGATTTGGTCATTGACTATTTTTTTACCAATTAAGTCTCTCAACTTTAAAATATTAACTAATTTGATCTTCCGTTTGTTTTGCCATTAGACATCTATTAACTTGAGACCAATTTGGTAATTTTGCTATAGTCGAAGGACCATTTCGGTCATCACATGCACTATTTTCTCCGAAAAGTTAATTACTAAAATAATCTCTTGATTATAGTGAAATTATCAATTTGGTCCCGGATTAACAGATGTCCAACGGCAAAACAAACGGAAGACCAAATTTGTTAAGATTTTTAAAGTTGAGGAACTTAATTGGTCCAAAAAAATAGTCAAGGACCAAATTAGTAATTTCGCTCTAGTCATGTAACCATTAATTAACTCTTAATAATATTTTTGTAGTTTCTTCAAAAAAAAAAATAATATTTTTGTAGTATTATTTAGTAACACACCGTACCTTTCCATCATCGTTTCTTACATCTTTAAATCTTTTATCGCGCGCGTACCTTTCTTTCGTTTATTAAATCCTTTGCACTAAAAGCTAATCATTCAGTTTGTGTTAGGCTTGGTAACCTGGTAGCTTGAAAATATAACTCAAATATAATAACAAAATAAAAATATTAATTGACCGTCATTTTAGGATCACTGGCTAGTAAGTCAACCAATCAATCATGCATATATGGTAGCTTGAAAAATGTATTATCTTTGAGATTAACTAATTGTATAGCTTGTTTCCCTGACCAACCAAAAATGAATCTCTTAAAACTTCACGAATTCGATTATTATTAATATCATCTTGGTCGAATCAATTATGTATGGTCTTTTAGTGCAATTTACCTCTTATGTGATTTGCAGTTGGCTATTGCATATGAGTATGATTTATACCGTATATACTCTCGGGTAATGATTGCGAGTTTTCCTCATCACCCAAAAATAATTATTTAATAATAATAATAATAATAACCCCACGTCTATGTCTTCATGCTATATATTATTCATTATTTCATCGTCCCAATGAACTAATGAGACAACAAATGTAAACGGAAGGTAAGCAAGAAGTTTCCGTTTTGAATTGGAAGATGGGCTCATCGGAAGCACGATCGCCGGTGCCGTTGTCGGAGGCGAGGTCTCCGATGCCGTTGCTGTACCGGCGACGTTCCAGCGGCGAAATAAGGAATTTGGCCTCAGTTTCCAGCAGTCTCTTGCCGGCTTTTGGTACTGTAATGGGTGAAGGATCTGCTCAGCTCAGAGGATTTGTCATTGCTCCATATGATCGTAGATACAGGTACCTTCAAACTCTTTTTATTTTATTTCTTTTTTCAAGAATTGTAATTAGCACAAAGAAATCTTTAAAAAAAAACAGGTGAAAAAAAAAAAGCAGTAATTTTCAGCTGAAATAGATATTTATGGATTTTTCCTACAGTATTGCTTGTAAAAATTTTGCTTACTCAAAATAGAAAATAGCGAGATAATCTTTAATGGAGCAGCATTTATTAGTAGTTGATTAGAAAACATCATTAATATAATTTTCAGCAAATTTTACACTGGACCATGGTCTAAAACAGTGTCATTTCTTTTCATTAAAAGAAATGACACCCATTCCACGTAATTAGTTCTATTTGTAGAGTTTTTTACAATTTTAGTCTCACGACTATGGTGTCACTAACAACTTTGATCCACGATTTTTAAAACTTGTAGAATTGGTCCACGACTATAACTTTCTTAGCAAATTTAGTCCTTCAGGTGCATTTTCCGTTTAATTTTTGCCGAAAAATTTTACTCTCCATTTAACATGGGTAATATTGTCTTTTCCATCTCACAAACTAATGACATAAATAAATAAATAAATAAATAAACACAACCAGTGGTACGATGATTGAAATTAAAAGTCACCCAATTTCAATTCCACTTTTAATTTCACCCTCTCCGTACCATTGGTTGTGTTTAATTAATTATTTAATTATTTATTTATTTATTTGACAATATACACGTACTCAATATGTGAGACATGTTATTCAGTTTTTTTTATACATACTGTAGTTTCATTTCAGCAAAACTAAAGTATTATTTCAATTCAACTATAGTTCTATTTGACAATATATATACTCAATATGTAAGACATGTTATTCAGTTTCATTTTATACATATTGCAGTTTCATTTCAACACAACTAAAGTATCATTTCAATTCAATTACAGCTTCATTTGATAATATAAACACAAAATGTGAAATAAGTTATTCACACAATGTGAATTAGATACAATGTAGTTTAATTTTGTTATTAACACACAAAAATTACGTAATTTGTTAAAATTTAATGGTTGTCGTTTCTTTACAAAAAAACAACGTCGTTTTCAGACTATGGTGCACAGTATAACAACCGATAATTTTCCCAAACGTTAATGACAACACAAATAAGAATTATAAGATGTCCCGGGCCATTACGAGTGTAATAAATATTTTTTGACTATGTATATTTGACTATTAATCAATTTTGGACATAAAGTATATTTGGCTATGTAATTATTTCTACTACGAGTGTACGTGATTTAGATTGGATTGACTTTCGTAAATTTGAAAACCAAGTGGATGAAAACAATAATTCACAAAACAAAAACAAAAAAGTCAAACCAAGAATCCATTCTTTCAGATCAATTGATTTTTTTTTAAAAAAAAAAATTAAGAATAAAATTAAATAGACTAACGATCAAACTACATGTAAAACTGCAATTAGGTCTTTGAGTCCATTAATAATCGAAAATCGTACAATTAAACATAAAGTCAGCTATAGTAGTGGGCATTGGCTCATGACATGACCGTAACATTTAAAAAGAATAATTGTAAATCTATTTTAATAATTTTAAATAAGTTAAAATTATTTTTTTAAAAAAAAAAATTAAAAAAGAAAAAAAAAAAAACCACCATCCACCCTTCTTTGTCTTTGACCAGAGGGATTTAAATTTTTTTTAATTGATTTGATTTGAAATCAATTTTAACATTATATTAATATTGTAGGATGTGGCAAGTATTTCTAGTGATCTTAGTGGTGTACTCAGCGTGGTCATCCCCATTCGAGCTCGCATTTAGAAAGGTGGCAACCGGGTCTCTTCAACCTGTTGACTTGGTGGTGGATGCTTTCTTTGGCATTGATATTATCCTCACTTTCTTTGTAGCTTACTTGGACAAATCTACCTATTTGCTTGTGGATGATCATAAGAAAATTGCTTTGAGGTATCACTACACCTTCACTTCTCAATCTTATACTTTGTACAATTTTAAATGATCATGAAAGAAATTAAAATATTTCGTGTTATTGGTTAAAGGTATGTCACACATCTGGGTTTCCCAATGGATATAGCTTCAACTCTTCCCTTCCAAACAATATATCTCATAATCACCGGCAAAACTCGCCGTGGTGTGGTGTTCGGCTTTCTCAACTTGCTTCGGCTGTGGCGGCTCCGCCGCGTCAGTGCCTTCTTCTCAAGGCTAGAGAAGGACACCCGCTTCAGCTACTTCTGGACTAGAACCTTTAAGCTAATATGCGTATGTACAATTTTACTTATAGTTTAAACTTTTAGTTAAAACGAAACAGATTGAATATAAAAAACTTTTAACGGATGATTATAGGTGACTTTATTCGCGGTCCACTCGGCAGGGTGCTTCTACTTCTGGCTTGCAACTCACTACCATGATTCAGACAGGACATGGATAGGATCTAAGGTTCCAAATTTTAAGGATAGAAGTTTATGGCTTGGTTACACTTACTCTACCTACTGGTCCATTGTCACTCTAGCTACAGTTGGCTATGGAGATCTATATGCAGTGAATACTGGAGAGAAGATCTTCACCATCTTCTACATGCTCTTCAACATTGGCCTCACAGCTTACTTGATTGGAAACATGACTAATCTCATTGTCCACAGTGCAGTGAGAACTTTCACCATGGTATATAAGTGCATACTTCAATTTGGTGTCAGAGTCATTAGACCTATACGAAAGGTTATAATAATGGTTGGTTTTGGTGTGCAGAGAGATGCGATCAATAATACACTGCGATACGCGAGCAAGAACCGACTTCCAGAAGGTTTGAAAGAGCAAATGGTGGCTCATGTGACACTGAAATTTAAGACAGCAGAGTTGCAGCAACAAGTGCTGGAAGATCTGCCCAAGGCTATAAGATCTGCCATTGCTCAGCACCTGTTTTGTTCAACTATTGAAAACACTTACCTCTTCAAGGGTGTCTCTGAGGACTTCATCCTTCAGTTGGTAACATATGTTTCTTTCCATCTTCAATTCATCACACAAGCATTCATGGAAATCCATTTCTTTTTTGAGTTATGAGGAAACCTGCCGCCAGTCACTATCTGAGGGTGTGCACTGCGGTCTGCGTAAATATAATCTCAGTAGATAAACCAGCATAAGTTGTCTATAGCTGATCTCCTGATCGATTCAAAATATGTAAGCCAATAGGCTGCTCGCCCTGGGAGTCAAACTTATAACATTGTGGTTACCAAGACAACAATTTGACCAACTTGGTTGGAGTTGTCTCTGGGAATCCATATCTTTTTTGAGTTATGAGGAAACCTGCAGGCACTATCTGAAGGTGTGCACTACGTTAAATCTTAGTAGATAAACCAGTCTAAGTTGTCTATAGCTGATCGGTTCAAACCAAGAAAGCCAATAGGCTGCTCCCGCTGGGAGTCAAACTTGTAACATTGTGGTTATATTACCAAGTCAACATCTAACCAACTTGACTGGAGTTGCCTCTCGAAATCCATTTTTCTTGATTTGCAAGCTAGAGATGTTAACAATATATGGTGATTACACAGGTATGTGAACTAAAAGCAGAATACTTTCCACCCAAAGTTGACATCATTATCCAGAATGAAATACCAACAGATTTCTATGTCATTGTATCTGGTGAAGTGGTTAGTATTATTATTGCTGCAATTAATCTTCTCCTTTCTTTCTGCATCGTAGTAAACAACCTTTTACAACTGCAGGATGTTTTAGCATACATAAATGGGACAGAACAGGTTAGTAGTTACAGTTTGATCATCTTGATGATACAATAACAAGAACTGAAACAATTGAAAGAAGATCGATCGAGCTAGCAAACTATATGATATGATCTTCTGATCTGATCTGAACAGTTCCTGTCAAAACTGGGAGCTACACAAATGGCTGGGGAAGTGGGTGTGATCTTTAATATCCCACAGCCATTCACAGTGAGAAGCAGGAGGCTTTCTCAGGTCATCCGTATCAGCCATCACCATTTCAAGCAATTGCTGCAGCCCCTCACTGAAGATGGCAAGAAAGTTCTTTCCAATTTTTGTCAGGTAAACAGTTCTGTTATGATAAACGCTTACCGTTACGACAAAAGCCAGCACATTTCGAAAGGCAGAGTGTTGAACTTGGCCCTTCAAACCTTTGCCCGACAATCCCCAGCCACCTGATGCTGGACTTAGCCCTTCAGGCCTTCGATCCGCCCAACAAATTCTCTATCTTGCATGATTCAGAAAATAATTTCTTGATTGTCATTGAGACATTCAATTTTGTTCTAGCAACTTACCATCCTGACAGAAATTTTCATGCATTCTCAGCATTTGAAGGGACTAAAAAAGGAGGAATTGGATGAGATACCAATTGTAACAGACTTGCTCGGTGACCCGAACGAAAACGAGGTAAAATAATGTTCACCTGCACAAGAGTGTGTACAGCCATTACACAAACATGCAACCAAAATCATCAGACACAACAACTACAGTAAAGACAACATATACTTTCCTAAGATGTTTTTTTTTTTTTTTTTGGTTTTTAATCTGCAGGTTAGTGCAGAAGCTGAGGGACCAGAAAGCAATAATGGAGGACAGAACCAACAAGAAAACAGTAAGCTCACAGCTAGCTAGCCATGATGGAGAATGAAGTTCCAATTTGATGTCTTCTATATATGTTGTACCATTAATCTTCTTGATATATAAGTTGCAGGAAACCACACAACATTTGCATCGCCATCAGGAACGATGGTTCTGACACGAGTGATAATACATGGGCATCATCCAAATGATGATGAACTTAAAGATGGAAGTAGAGGCAAGCTGATCCACCTTCCTAATTCAATTCAAGAGCTTTTGAGTATAGCAGGTAACAATTAAGTCCTTATTTACTGAAGAAAAAGCTAAGGTTATTCTAATAATGCAATGGAACATTGTATATATGGAACTATGGAGGTGTCAAATCTCATTCTTTGTGTTGGATTGAATGCAGAAAACAGGTTTGGGAAGAGAGGAAGTAAAGTTTTTATGGGCAATGGCTCTGAGGTTGAAGATATTGGTGCTTTACGAGAAAATGATCATTTGTATATTTGTTGACTACTTTTACAGTTGGTAAAAACCATCTTACAGTACTACCAGTTGCATAAATTCACCAAAAAAAAAAAAAAAGATGTTGGAATGAGGTGAATTTTGAGTGACTAGAAAACCGGTGACTACTATCCAAGGGCTTGTAACTTTAGTTGAGTGACTCAAATCAAGAAGATAGAGTGTTTAGGAGAGTCAACTTTATAATCTTGTGGTTGTGAGGTTATTCTTTATCATAGTTTTTTTACTGATGTGGAGGTGTCAATTCGAATTAAAATTATAGGAAAAAAAAAACCTAGCTTTAGTTATAACTAATGTGGACCGACTTCATTAACTTTGATTTATGAAAAAGATAAAATTTCAATTTTGGTCATATGACTATAGGGGCATTGTTAATTTCAACACCTGACTTTTAAAAGTGTCAATTTAGTACCTTGACTATGTAATTTTTGTCAATTTTGGTCACTCCGGCTAAATTGAAGGTCAAATTTGACCGAAAAATTTTAATCCAACATTTAGTCTAGAAAGGATCAAAAGACGATTTTGCCCCTCAGATTATAGACTAAATGTTTGATTAAATTTTTTAAGTCAAATTTGACCGTCAATTCAGCCGGAGTGATCAAAATTGATAAATATTACATAGTCAAGGTACTAAATTGACATTTTTGAAAGTCAGGTGCTGAAATTAACAATGCCCTATAGTCATGTGACCAAAATTGAAATTTTCTCTATGAAAAAACTTACATACAACCACTAATCGAATGTACATTTTGGGTGAAGCTCACCTTGAAATAACCATAGCCGATTTAAAGATCACAATTATATAAACAAGTCTAAGTTATTCATAGTTAACCGGCTTAAATCAAAAAGACTAATAAACAGTTCCCATGAAAAATCGGACTTGAGATTTTGTATTTACTAAACAAATTGTCAGACCAACTTGACTTAGTTGTCCACTAGCTTAGAGGGTGTATGGGGAAATTCCCAAATATGGGAACAAAGTGAATCTTGCGTTGGTTTTAACTTTTAACTAATTTGTTAGTGTTATTGCTATGAACGACCATACATGAAGCTCCTAAACAACGACATAATTATATATATATTTGTAGTAATATTTTGGGACGATCGATAATATCAATGGTTATCAAAATCAAAATAATAATAATAATTAACAATAATACACCACAGTATCACATGCACCATACTATATATATATATATATATATATATATATATATATATATATATATATATATATATATATATATATATATATATATATATATATATATATCCCAGACAAAAAATGTGTACGTAAAAACAAGAAGGATAAGTCTCGGTTTTGAAAGATGGGCAAACCGGAAGCACGATCGCCGGTTCCGGTGCCGGAAACGAGGTCTCCGATGTACCGGCGACAAGCTAGCGGAGAAATAAGAAACTTGGCCTCAGTTCCCAGCAGCCTCTTGCCGGCTTTTGGTAGTGTTATGGGTGAAGGATCTGCTCAGCTTAGAAGATTTGTCATTGCTCCTTATGACCGTAGATACCGGTATGTACACTTTTTTTTTTTTTTTTTTTTCTTTCAAGAATTTTAATTTAATTAGCACAAAAAGGTAATTTTTAGGTGAAATATTAATATTTATAGACTTAATTTCACTTTTGGTCCTATAACTATTGAGACCCTGTTAATTTAATCCATGACTTTTAAAATTATCAATTTAGTACATTAATATTCAATTTTTATTAATTTTGGTTATTCCGGTCAAATTGTCGGTCAATACTCACCGAAAAATATTAATAGGTGAAGTAAAGAAGATATTTTAGTCATTTTACTTATCTTTTCTCCTTTAAAATACCCTCATTATTTTATATATTAATATTTTCTGGTGAGTTTTGGCCGAATGGACCAAAAATTGATTTAAAAAAACTGAATAGTTAATGTACTAATTAATTGACATTTTTGAATGTCGTGGATTGAGATTAACAAAACTTCAATAGTCACAAGTCCAAAAGCAAAATTAACTCATATTTATGTTATAGTATACCTTGAAATAGTAGAGAGCCGAACCAATGTCATTGAAGTTAAATCATATATATACATGCTCTGTAAATAGTAGTAGAAGTCCGACTGATATCAGTGAAGTTAAATCATATACATATTTTGTAAATAGTAAAAGTCGAACCGATGTCATTGAAGTTGGTCAACTATGAACAACTTAATAATGTTGTATGTAGCATGAATAATTTTTCTTTTATTTGATTCACTTTGAATTGGATCCAAATATAAACATTACGGAGGAATCAATATATTGCCAAATTTATTTATAATATCCCACATAATAAAAATATTTAGTAACTAATAAACATATTAATTATGAAAAAAAAAATTCATTTGAATAAACAACATCAAACTAAAGTTTGATACCTAATACTAAAGGTGACAATGTCATAATAGTTAACGATTAAAAGTGAAATTTTCTCTTTTTCTAAAATACGACAAAGAAAAAAACAAACTAATTCATCATTCTATGGTTAATTAGGGATAGAAATATGATGGAAAACAACTCAATAGTATTTGACAAGCCAAGCAAAACAACTCAAGACTTAAAAACATGCTGAATCAAACGGGTGTGAATCAAACATGCTGACAAGCCACCGCACCAAAATAAACGTAAAATAGTTTGAGTGTTCCCTTCCATGTAATTAAAAACAAAAAAACAAAAAAAAAAAAAAAAAAAACGTAAAATTACCTCGATGCTATTATCTCAATCATTTTGTATTCCAAGTAGCCTTAATATCAATAGTAGTTATTCATATTATACCTGGATTCAATCTTTGATTTTGGTATTCTGCCATTTAATTAGATACTAATAATTTTACTCACAACTTATCAAATTACTATTATTGTAGGGTGTGGCAAGTATTTCTTGTGATCTTAGTGGTGTACTCTGCATGGTCATCCCCATTCGAGCTCGCATTTAGAAAGGTGGCAACGGGGTCATTCCAGCCCGTTGACTTAGTGGTGGATGCTTTCTTTAGTGTTGATATCATCCTCACTTTCTTTGTAGCTTACTTGGACAAATCCACTTATTTGCTTGTGGATGATCACAACAAAATTGCTTTGAGGTAATCTACTGGTAGCTAATGTTATTGACCATTTTCGATAAGTCATAAAAATAACAAAAAAAAAATTTTTTAAAAATTGTTCAGATTCTCCAAATGAAAAGTCGAAAAGATCATTTCAAATAAAAAAACTCGATCTGATTAGTCTAAGTAAATGGACTTATTTAGCACAACATATATATGATCATGAAAGCAATATTTCATGTTGCTTGAAGGTATGTTACACATCTAGGTTTTCCCATGGATATAGCTTCAACTATACCCTTCCAAACCATATACGGCCTAATCACCGGCAAAGTGCACCATGATCAAGTGTTCGGCTTTCTCAACTTGCTTCGACTATGGCGGCTCCGTCAAGTCAGTGTATTCTTCTCCCGACTAGAGAAGGACACTCGCTTCAGCTACTTCTGGACAAGAACCTTCAAACTAATATGCGTATGTATAGTACAATACATTAAAAAATGTGTTTTGTCTCAACTAAAAGTTTTAATTTGACGGTGAGAGTTCTCTATCTCAGGTGACTTTATTTGCGGTCCACTCTGCCGGCTGCTTCTACTTCTGGCTTGCAACACACTACCATGATTCATACAATACATGGATTGGATTTAAGGTTCATGATTTCAAAGATAGAAGTGTGTGGTTTGGTTACACTTATTCTGTGTATTGGTCCCTTGTCACTCTCACTACAGTCGGCTATGGAGATCTGTGTGCCCGTAATAATGTGGAGAAGGTCTTCACCATTTTCTACATGCTCTTCAACATTGGCCTCATAGCTTACTTGATTGGAAATATGACCAATCTCATTGTCCACAGTGCAGTGAGAACTTTTGCTATGGTACGTACTTATCCTTTTTCTTCACACAAATTATGATTGCAAACATGTTACTTGCTCATTCCTGCGTGATTTGTGGGTGGAGTCTTGCCCTTGCCTACAAAAGGCGAAATCACTCGCCCCAAGGGCCCCACACCGTGACAAAGGTTTGTGAAGGTGTAAATCGCAGTGACTCAACGGTCCATAGGTAGAAGGACCAGTGTTTGGTGTCCACAAGGAGCCAGTCCACAGGAGGGTGAAACTCCTACATTTGCAGCTATCAAGGCTCGATCTTGCATCCTTGTCCACAAAAAGTCTCGCCCCGAGGGTCTCCACACTCCGGCACAGGATTGTGGAGCTGTAAATCACGGTAATTCAGCGACCGTGACTCAGCAATCCATTAGGTGGAAGGACCAATCAATGCCTGGTGTCTACACGGAGCCACTCTTGTAACTTTCAAGGCTCAATCCTATGTTCTTGCCCACAATCTGTCACTCAGGAACCAACTGAGCTACCCGTGGGGAAATGATGGTGGGATCTTGCTCTAATAGTTGGTTGTTTTTGTGCAGAGAGATGCCATCAACAATATACTGCGATACGCGAGCAAGAATCGACTTCCAGAAGGGCTGAAGGAACAAATGCTGGCTCATATGACACTGAAATTCAAGACAGCAGAGTTGCAGCAAGAAGTGCTGGAAGACCTGCCAAAGGCGATAAGATCTGCCATTGCTCAGCACCTGTTTTGTTCAACTCTTGAAAACACCTACCTCTTCAAGGGTGTATCTAAGGACTTCATTCTTCAGTTGGTAACATGTTTTTTTTACCATCTTCATCAGACTAGCATTAATGGACTTCATCCTTGTTCCAAATCTTGATCTGCAAAATTAACAAAGGTGTTTTTACGGTTGTTACACAGGTATCTGAACTAAAAGCAGAATACTTTCCACCCAAAGTTGATATCATTATCCAAAACGAAATACCAACGGATTTCTATGTCATTGTATCTGGTGCAGTGGTTTGTATTGTTCTTCTTTGATCTTCTGGTTCCCTAGCTTCTACTTATGCAACATAGTATCCTTACAACCTTTTACAACTGCAGGATGTTTTAGCATACAAAAACGGAACAGAACAGGTTAGTTGTTATAGCTTTGATTCGATACAATTCCAAATTCTGAAACAACTGAAAGCAGAGAAAAGTTAAATCATACGCAAAAGCAAACGGGATTATTCACTAACATAAACTGATGTAAACAGTTCCTGTCAAAACTGGGACCTCCAGAAATGGCTGGGGAACTGGGAGTAATATTTAATATCCCACAGCCATTCACAGTGCGAAGCAAGAGGCTTTCTCAGGTCATCCGCATCAGTCATCATCACTTCAAGCAGTTGCTGCAGCCTCCTACTGATGACGGGAAGAAAATTCTTTCCAATTTTCGTCAGGTAACTGTGACAAGATTTCATCAGTGCGGCCACTCCTGTATATAACCATCTACTCACTGTTATTTAGTCATTCCTTATGTTCAACTCACCATCCCGACAAAATGTCTTGTGCTCAGCATTTGAAGGAACTACGAAAAGAGGAGTTGGAAGAGATACCTATGCTAAGAGAGTTTCTCGGAGATCCAAACAGTAATGAGGGAGCAGAAAGCTATGAAGGACAAAACCAACAAGAAAACAGTAAGCTAACTAGCCACATTGTTCAAAATAGGAAACAAAAATGCTCTAAGAGGAATACTTTTACACACTACAGCTACTGAGAAGTTCCGATTTGATTCCTCCTATCTTGTACTATTTAATTTCTTGATAAACGAAACAACTATTGCATCATCAGGAACATTTCCGACAAGAGTGATATTGCACGGGCATCATCCACATGATGAACTAAAAGAAGAACATAGAGGCAAGCTGGTCCACCTTCCCGATTCAATTCAAGAGCTTTTGAGTATTGCAGGTAACAAATCCTTAATTACTGATGAATATAATTTAATGAAAAAAAATCAAGTATGAATTAAAATGACTGGTCTATGCAATGAAACATTATATGCACGTGTCAAATCTCATTATGTCTTGAATGCAGAAAAAAGGTTTGGGAAGAAAGGAACTAAAGTTCTTATGGCTAATGGCTCTGAGGTGGAAGATATATGTGCTTTAAGAGAAAACGATTGTTTGTATATTTGTTGACTACAAATACAGTTGTCAAAAACCATCTTACAGTAGTTACCAGTTTAGGTATCAAAACACAACACACATCAAAACCATCTTCAAAAAAAAAACAGTGGCAGACAATATTAAGTAAAAATGTGGCAGAGGATATTAAGTTTAAACAAAAGTGGAATATAATTCGTTATTAAGGAATCTAATGTAGATATTCCATAGGTACCCTGGCTTTCTTGAATTCTTCAGTCACTCTCTTCTCAAAGCTTTCATTACTTTCTTCTTCAAAGCATTCATCACTTTCTTCCTTAAAGCTTTTGGCCTTTCTTCTTCATGACTCAGATAAGATGAAAATTCAAGATTTACTTCATCGCAGATTTCATTATTTGGCAATTTAAAACTCTCTGCTTCAGACCACTCATTATTTGGCAATTTAACACTTTCTTCTTCAGACCCTTCATTAATTGGCATACCAACCTAAAAATATAATACAAAATGAGAATAAGAAAAGAAAATAAATCAATCCATACAATCAGAATATAAAACTGATATTTCAAAACCTTAGCTCCGAGATCAAGAACTTGAAGTTTACGATCTTCCCTCTTCTGGTGGTTCTGTTCAATCTTGTTTGCAGAAATCACAAGAGAAGAATAACAACTTTCTAGAACAATTAACTTCAATGTTCCAATATTTGCAAAATTAATTGGAACTCGTTTCAATTCCCAGCAATATCTTAAGACTAGGCGCTCCAAAACCGGGAAATGATCAGAACTTGCATTCCAATGTTTGAGATCAGAACGTGAAATAAGAAGTACCTTTAATCTTCGAAAGCCTTGCTCTATTGGTTCCCATTCTGAGCCACAGAAGGCAAAATCTTTCAGTTTAAGCACCTCAAGGTGCGCCAACCTGCCAATTATGTCCATCTCCTTCCATGGAAGATAAGTATAACGAAGTGTCAACTTCTTAAGGTTTGGTGGAAAACCAGTTGGAAGATAAAAGCGCTCAACTCTTCCAATTTCAAATTTCAACTTCTCAAGCTGATGTAAATAGACAAGGGTCTTTAGATAGCTTGGCGCCAGTTGACCTTCAATGTAAATTCCTAGTTCCTTCAGGTTTGGAACAATTCTAAAGTTTGTTTTTTGGTCAAAGCTAGCAACTTTCAACCAATGAAGAGTTTGTAGATTTTCTTGAACGAAGCAAGGGAGATATTGCGAACATCTCTTGTCAACACGCAAATGCCTCAATTGTGGCAAACCCAAAATATCACATGGCAGTTTCAAACGAAAACTTTCCATCCATGAAGTAACTATGAGAGTTAGCAAATTTTGAAGCTTGGAAAATCGAAGCTTGTAAAGAGAAGCAATAGTACTTAAAGCCAAATATTTCAAATGGATCAAATCCGCTATTCCACTAGGCATGCCTTGTGAGTATTTAATGAATGATAAATCCAATACTCTCAGCATTTTCAAACATGGGTATATCAACCTGCATTTTGAAAGGTATATATACATCTTTACCAAAGCAAAGAATGGAACGGATGTTATCGGTAGTGCAATTCCCATAACTCACTTGAGTGATTGGCCAATGACTTGTTTGACAGCTTAACCAACAACTAGTTTCTGGAGCATGATTGTCATTGATAATGCACACAATATTCTCCTTTTTCGCTTCGCTCACACAAAACTCATGCACTCGATCATGAATCTTACAAGATCTAATTTTGCCGTCAATACTTAGCTCATTAATTTGAACAAGACTTCTATTAATGAGATCATGCAAGTAACTCTCTCCCACTTCTTCCAAAATCATATTGTTATGTGGCTTTATAAATCCCTCTGCAACCCATAAGTTGATTAGTTTCTTAACAGGAATGTCACTGTCTTCTGGAAACACACCAAAATAATGAAAGCAACCTTTCAGGTGACTAGGTAAGTACTTGTAGCTTAATGAAAGTGTTACCAAAATTCTGTTCTTATTATCATCTATATGAACTCCATCCAAAGTTTCCTTGACATCTCGCCATATTTCTAACGACTCCTTGACCGTTGCCAAAAGTCCAGCAATTACAAGAACCTCTAGTGGTAATCCACTGCAAAAAATAACAAGGTGTCTCCCAATTAACTCAAATTCCTTTGGAACAAAATGACTTTGCCCAAACACCTTCCTCGAAAATAATTCCCAACAATCCTCTAGATTTTGATACTTCACATGGTAGGGATTTGCACTTAAGTATTTAGCCACCTCTATGAACCGAGTAGTTACTAAGATTCGACTTCCATTAGAATTATCTGGAAAACACCTTTGGACGGCATCCCATGCTATAGTGGTCCATATGTCATCTAGGAAAATCAAATACTTCTGGCCCGTCAAACTTTTGCTTAATTGCTCTGCTATCTGAGCATAACTGGTGTTGTAGATTTCACCAGTGATTGGTGAAATACAACGTAATAGACCAATGAGCATCTCTTTGAGGTTATGAACTCGAGATACAACTACCCGTGCTCGAATGTGAAAGCTAGCAATAATAATTGGATCTTCATAGACTCTTTCGGCTAATGTAGTTTTTCCTATGCCTCCTTCCCCAACAAGTGGGATAACTTCTAGTTTCAACCCTTGATTTTCAACGGGTTTCAAAACCTTGTCATCAATGTTACTATTCCTCCAAAAGTATGAACAAGTGAGCCAGAAAATTATTGTCTCTACATCTTCGTCGAATCCTACAATCACTTCATTTTCAGGCTCTAAAGCATTAGTTGATGACCCAACATCCAATGAAGCAGTTCTTTTTCTCTTTTCCACCAGGACCCATACTACAACTTCCTCAATATCTCTTTCCATCATTTCCAAGGTTCGAAGAAGTTCTTTACTAGCTTCAAACACACACTCTGCCCTGTCCGCTAAATAAACTCGTGTCAGCTTAGATTCTATGTCATGATATTTATAGATATCTTCAACTTTCTCTTGGATAGTTTTGCCCATATCCCTAGCCCAGTTTTTATCAGCTTCCACCTTATATTTCTCCAAAAAGGATTGCAGAAAGCGGAGCTTGTCAGACAGCATCTCGACCATTTCATGCAGCGATAAGGCCATTCCTCCAGCATCAAGAATCGAAAATAGTTTGGGCTCCATAAGGTCTTGCTCTACTATTTTGATTAGAGTGGCTACACCATCAAAATCCATTGAACCACTCTAAAGTGTTCCTGAAACTCAGATTAGAGTTATTAGTCTCAATTATGATTGAAATTAATAAATGAACAAATTGCACTTTTGGTCCTGTGACTATTAGGGTATTGATAATTTGAGTACGTTACTTTCAAAACTCTCAATTTAGTCCTTTAATTATGCAATCATTAGCAGATTTGGTCCTGCAGGTGAAATTGCCGGCCAATTTTGGCCGGAAAAACGTAATTTGATTCGAATTTTTTTTATGAGGGTAAAAAAGTAATTGCAAGGGAAAATAAAAGGGGCGGGGGTGGAATTCCTCCGGTCGCCGCCGCCCTCTGCCAAGAAGATAAAGAAATATTGGCCTATATCATCACCTGCTCTTCTGCAAACTCCAGGGAGAGTAGAAAAGTCGGCGCCGGCAACCACCCTCCTACTTCAACTACAACTGTTTCAGCTGCTACATGAGCTACTTGGTGAGGTGAGACTCGTCGCCCAACCGGCAGCTCATCCACGGAATCATCGACGACGCTTATGAGGACAGCCTGTAATTGCAGAGCAAGAAAAACAAGAGAGAGAATAGAAGAAACAAGGCTAACAACAATGGCGTAGAGGAAGAGGAAGACGAAGTCGGAGATGAGTTTAACCTCCGCCGAGCACCGTCGCGCCTACGGCGGCGACGATAGTGGCGTAGAGAAGTAGGAAGACGGCTGTGAGAAAGGCACAGTCAGAAGGATTGTTAGCTCTCTGGGAGAGAGAATTTGGACCTGAAAAATCTCTCTCAAGGTCTCTGCTCATCATCATCTTCATCGTCTCCTTTTTTTTTTTTTTTTTTTTTTTTTTTTTTTCTGGGTTGTGTAAAATATGCCTTGTCGCTGGTGAACTGTGCGCAGTGCCTAGCCATTGCCGTCGGGAACAACTTCCCTGGGTTCGGGTGATGGGTTTTATATAGCAGTTGCTATGTCTGACATGAGCTTTATCCCTTTTACTTCCCTCCCTCGATTCGCCAGAAAAATCCACCGTCTCCGCGTGGGAAGCAAGGAACTACCGTGTGAGTCGCCGGAACGAAAATCACAAAGCGTTTGAACAAAAAACATCTTCCGTCGCTGCAACGAAGAAGAAGGGGGGAGAATGGAGAAGAAGGAAGAGTGTGAAACGACTACTTTACCCCTCTAATTAATTAATTAAAAATGATTTAAATTTTTCCGGCCAAAATTGGCCGGCAGGACCAAATCTGCTAACAATTGCATAGTTAAAGGACTAAATTGAGAGTTTTGAAAGTCAGGTACTCAAATTATCAACACCCTAATAGTCAGGACCAAAAGTGCAATTTGTTCTTAATAAATTGAGTTAATTCCATTTTTTGTCCTAAATTTATAGGTGGCAGTCCACTTTTAGTCCATTTTTATCAGAACATCCATATTTGTTCCTAGTATTATTGTAGCATGACCATTTTTGATCATTTATCAACACAACAGTTTTAATACCGTTAAATACAAAGCCATTTCGATATTCAATTACGGATTTTTTCAAAAAAATAAACATAAAAATATAGCGGAGTCAACTCACTTTTGTATAAAAATGATCCAAATGTCTTTGTATTTAACAACATTTCAACGATTTTGGTGAAGGAGGACCAAAAATGGTTATGCCACAATAATACTAGGACCAATTGAATGTGGATGTTCTGATAAAAAGGGATTAAAAGTGAACTGCCACTAGGGCTGTGCAGTCGGACGGATCGGACGGTTCGGATTGCGGAATGAGACCCCCGGCCGGATTTCGGATTTGTCTTTTGATCACCCTAACCGTTTTTTTTTGTTGACCAATCCGATCGGTTATAGTTATTTTCGGATTGGTTCGGATCGGTCGGATATCCGAATTGTAAATCGGTTTTATGAGAATGTAAAAAATTTAAAAATTCAATTATTCATGGATGATGGAACACCTAAGTACCTAACTAATGAACTACTTAAGTACTAAAAGCCACTAGCTAGTAATTACTAACTACTTAACAACAAAATTAAGTAAATAACATAAGTAAACTTATAAAAGTGTAAACATATAATGAGCAAAATACAAATTAGCTTACATATAATCTACATTCAACAGATTAGTTACAACTTAGAAAGTTAGAAGTTACAAAATTAAAGAGAATTATAATTGTTCATAGCAAGCACTCCAAGCAGGCAAGTTGCAACAGCAGCACTGCATCAGTCTCCACTCTCAAATCAGCAGTCAGCACATCAGCAAAAGAAAGCCAGATATCCAAAACTCCAAAAGCAATATATGAATATATGATTAATATAATATAGAGTACTCTATGTCTATTCTTCTTCCTGATAAGTGAACACATAAAAACACAATAAGTTCAAAACATTTGTAGTTAGTTAGAATTGACACAATCACACAAACTGAAACTGTAAAAGACTAAGACTCTAAGAGTGCTCAGATAGCTTTTTTTCCATATCAAATTAGGATTGGGGGCACACTACTCAATGAGTATGGCATAAACACCACACTTCAAAGGCAACATACCAAACCCAATTCTATATATTCAGAGAAATGGTGGAAGCATCATCATAGCAGAATAATACTTATGCTTAGACAACTAATGAATTATATTTAAATAGCAAAGACTCAATGAGTGCTCAGATATTTTTTTTTTCCATATCAATTTAGGATTGGGGGAACACTACTCAATGAGTATGGCATACACCACACTTCATAGGCAACATACCAAACCCAATTCTATATATTCAGAGAACCTGGTGGAAGCATCATCATAGCACAATAAAGAACATTTATTACAGGTATAAGTGTATAACTTATAAGTATAGTGAGTCAGAACTCAGAAGATTTAGCTATTTATACAGTATTTAACTATTTATACTGATACCTGAGCTCAATGGCAGCAACATTTAAAATGTTACCTAGCCATGAGCACTTTCCAGTTTCCAGTTTCCAGTTCCAACTTCCCAGCCTCACTTGGGACATTGATTTGAATCATTGATACACATACATGATACACTGATACAGTCATATAGAGGCATAAATTTATCATGAAATCAAATAAGTAAATAAGTAATCACAAATCAAATAAGTAAATAAGTAAACATACAACAATTGTAGGCATTCCAGTTCCAGTGCTGGATGTGCAGCACAACTCTGCAGTACAAAAACAAAATGGAAATTCAATAAGTAAATTGTAAATAAGTAATCACAAATCAAATAAGTAAATAAGTAAACAGATCATTTGAGTAAACAGTTAGAAGTATATACCTTTCTCTATCCTTTCAACATCTTCAATATTTTCTTCAATTGAGATTGGTTGGTTGCTTAACCTTAGCCAATCCTGTGCACACACCAATGCCTCAACAATTCTAGGAGTTAGGGAACTCCTAAAGGCATCAAGTACCCTTCCACTTGTACTGAAAGCTGATTCTGAAGCAACAGTTGATATTGGAACAGCTAGAATATCCCTTGCCATTTTAGATAAGACAGGGAACCTTTCAGATTGTTGCTTCCACCATCTTAGAAGGTCAAATGAATCATCCTCATCCACAATAACCTCAGAGAGATACACTTCCAACTCAGTTTTTTTCCTAGACAAATCCCCACTCACCAATTTTTGCTTCTTAATCTGAGATTTCAGTAATGATTGAGGTCTCCCAACAGAAACAGAATCAGATATTGTTATTGAGGGAGAAAATTTTTCAGATTGTTCAACAGACTGGACAGGGAAGCATGCAACATAATCTTCAAACAACTCCTTAAGGCCAACAATCACCTTATCAAACATTGTTTTACCCTTTTCCTCACCATATAACTGGTTAAACTGAATGGGCATATACTCAATTTTGTCCCTGGGGTCTAAGATATTTGCATAGAATATCAAAAAATTCATTTTTTCAGGCTCACCCCAATACTTATCAAATTTTGCCCTCATATTTTTACCCATCAGTTTAACACTATCTTCTGTAGCTTCCTCCATATTTTTCAACAAGCAAGACAAATCAGAAATCTCAGAGAAGAAGGTATTAGAAGTCACATACAATGATCCAGAAATCCTAACAGTCATTTCATAAAAAGATTTCAGAATCATAACCAAAGATTGAATGGATTCCCAATCTAAGAAATCAGGTACACTTCCACCCAAATCAGATTTAAATGAACTGTCATGATCATCATAGGCTTCAAATACCTTCTGAAACAGTAATGCAGTATTAAGCATCATATATGTGGAATTCCACCTTGTAGGGACATCTAGACACAGAGAATTTTTTGCTTCCACCCCAATTAGATCAGCTAGTGATTTAAACTTCTGCAACCTAGCAGGTGAGCTCCTCACATACCTAACAGCATCCCTGACTTTCTTAACTGAACTGTCACATTCTTTCAACCCATCCTGTACCACCAAGTTAAGAATGTGAGCAATGCACCTCATGTGCAAATACTTACACCTAACAGAAGTACAACCCCAAGAACCCAACTTCTTCTTCAAGAAACCTAGGGCAGTATCATTGCTGGAAGCATTATCAACTGTCACACTAAACACTGATTTTAGACCCCAGTCCAAAAGGCAACTCTCTAAAGCCTTTGCAATACTTTCCCCCTTGTGGGAATATATAGGAACAAATGAAATAATCTTCTTTTGCAGCTTCCACTCACTATCAATGAAATGTGCAGTTATGCACATGTAGTTTATTCT